TACCCAGGCTGGAGTGTAGTGGTGTGGTCATGGCTCACTACAGCCTCAACCTCCCAGGCTCAAGTGATTCCTCCACCTAAGCCTCCCCCATAGCTGGGGCTACAGGTGTGCACCACCACACCTGGCTAATTTTTGTATTTTCAGTAGAGATGGAGTCTCCCTATGTTGCTCAGGCTGGTCTCGAACTCCTGGACTGAAGCAACCCTCCCACGCTAGCCTCCTAAAGTGCTGGGATTACAGGTGAGAGCCACCGCTCCCAGCCTAAAGGAAACTTTTATTGAAGTAAAACACATACAAAACACTGCACAAACCCTAAGTATACAGCATGAAAAACTTTTATAAAGCAAACATCCCTGTATAATGAGCACACACATGAGCAAATATTACTAACACCCAGAAGTGATCCTTTGTGTCTACCGTCAGTCTCTATCTACCCAAAGAATAACCAGTATCCTGATTTTTAACACCAAATATTTGTTTTACCTGTTCTTAAACATTATTTAAATGGAATGATACTGTATGTACTATTTTGTGTCTTTCACTCAACGCTGTGTGAGATTCATCCAAGTTATATAAAATTGTAGTTCTTTAATTTTCATTCAAAAATAGGCAGAGGCCTTAAATAGACATTTCTCCAAAGAAGATATACAGATGGCCAATAACCACATGGAAAGAGTCATAGCATCACTAATCATTAATCAAAACCACAATGAGAGGCCCACCTTACATCCATTAGGATGGCTACTATCAAAAACCCAGAGAATAAGTGTTGAAGAGGTTGTGGAGAAACTGAAACCCTTATACACTGCAGCTGGGAATGAGAATGGTCCAGCTGCTATGGAAAACAGTATGATGGTTCCTCAAAAAATTAAATACAGAATTACCAATACCAAATGATTCCACAGTTCCACTTTGCACTTTGAATATACACCTAAAAAAATGGAAAGGAGTTTTTTTTTGTTTGTTTGTTTTGTTTTTTTTTGAGATGGAGTCTTGCTCTGTCGCCCAGGCTGGAGTGCAGTGGTGCGATCTGAGCTCACTGCAACCTCTGCCTCCTGGGTTCAAGCGATTCTCCTTCCTGAGTACCCCCTAGTAAATCTCTAAGTCTGCAACCCAGCCATACTGACAGCTGGCAATCCCTTGGATGCACCTTGAATGTTTTTATCTTGTTTCTGGGCCTTTACATGAATCATTTCCTTTGCCTAGAATAACTTTCGCTTAACTTTCTTTACCTGGATAACACCTATTTGACCTTTAGGTGTCTTCCTCCAAGAAGCTTCTTGGCCCCCCAGCCAGGTCAGATGTCCCTTATCTGTGTACCTGCTCTTGGGTGCTTTGTACACACCTCTATTTGTAGCTTTGATCACCCAGTATGGTGACTGATGGTTTGCGGTTTGTCTTTCCTGCCCCACCGTCCTCCACCCCAGTGAGCTCCCTGAGGACAGGACTGGTCTTGTTCACCCCAGCACCTAATATAACATATGGCTCACAATGTATGTACAATGAATATTTTCACTCTGTAGCACTCTGTGCTTTTCAAAGTGCCCTGAAACAAACTCATCTACGGAGCTATAATAATATTTCCTTAACATTCATTCCTCCTGAATAAAATATTCTTTTAAAAAATACTACCATTACTTAGAACATTTATGTGAATTATCCATCATGTCACAGATGGGACTGAGTCGGGACTCTATCTCATTTTCATCTGATACATTAGAAGAGTTTGAGAAAAACCAGATTCCTTTTGAATCACTTGACTGGAGGTGGTGTCTCTAGGAGTGTGGTGGGGAAATGGGTGCACGGAACTCAGAAGCGGGCCTCAGCTGGTGATCTGACCTTCTCATGAATTCACGTCCCTGCTTTCCTGGAAGCATAGATTGAAGCCAGCATTGAAAAGGTGTTCACACTGTAGCCTGGGAGAAACTGTCTCTCAGTCCTTGGAATCACAGAATGAAAGAACTTCAGGTCATCTGGTTGAATCTCTGCCTTTAAGATGTGGGGAAAGAGACTGGGAGCAGTGGCTCACGCCTGTAATCCCAGCACTTTGGGAGGCCGAGGTGGGCGGATCATCTGATGTCAGGAGTTTAAGAGCAGCCTGGTCAACACAGTGAAAACCCCATCTCTACTAAAAATACAAAAACTAGCCAGGGTGTTGTGGCACGCACCTGTAGTCCCAGCTACTCGGGAGTCTGAGGCAGGAGAATCACTTGAACCTGGGAGGTGGATGTTGCTGCAAGCCAATATTGTGCTAACCTGGGCACAGAGCAAGACTTTGACTCCAAAAAAAAAAAAAAAAAAAAAATGGAGAAAGAGATCTAGTATTTTGGCCTAGAAACCTCACAAGACTCACCAATCTCATTTTTCTTTCTCCAAAAGGCTGGACTTGGCAGTTAGTAGGCTCCTGATCCCACACAAAATATCTCTTAGAATATTTTATCCTCCCTTTCTCAGAATCATCACCTGAATAGTATCCTCTGCGTAGGTGGTGTGTTAATATTGCCATATAGAAATTCATGGAAGACACAGTTTCCAGCCCTAGAAACTTACAAACTGAGACCAGGAGTTTGAGAGTGATCTGCACACGTCAGTCAAGTCAAAAGAAAGAGAAACTCTTTTTTGTTTTGTTTCGTTTTGTTTTTTGAGATGGGGTCTCACTCTGTCACTTAGGCTGGGGTGCAGTGGTGTGATCTCGGGTCACTGCAACCTCCATCTCCTGGGCTCAAGTGATCCTCCCACCTGAGCCTTCCAAGTAGCTGGAACCACGGGCGTGTGCCACCACGCCTGGCTAAAAAGGGAAACTTTTAATTTAATTCAATTCAATTTAATTTTTTTTTTTGAGACAGAGTTTCGCCTAGGCTGGAGTGCAGTGGTGCGGTCTTGGCTCACTGCAACCTCCGCCTCCCAGGTTCAAGCGATTCTCCTGCCTCAGACTCCCGAGTAGCTTGGATTACAGGTACCTGCCACCATGCCTGGCTAATTTTCTTTTTTTTTTAAAATTTTTTAAATTTTTAGTAGAGACGGGGTTTCACCGTGCTGGCCAGGCTGGTCTCGAACTCCTGACCTCAAGTGATCCGCTTGCCTCGGCCTCCCAAAGGCATGAGCCACTGCACCAACCAGAAAGTTTTTAAAATATGGGTTTTATTTGAAAACCAAGCCAGACATTAAATCAAAATAATTTTTTTTTGCTTTTGTATGAACTCTCCAGTTTTTATACATAGGTGATCTGAAGTTATAATTTAAATTTAGGAAAGTGCTGAGGATGAATAGATATTGGCTTTTTCCCAGGGTGTGGAGGGGTAGGAGCAGGGAAGCAGGGAAATGACACTACCAAGCGCCTTCTGTATGCCAACGATTTTTTGTTTGTTTTGTTTCAGAGAGTGAGTCTTGCTCTGTTGCCAAGACTGGAGTGCAGTCGTTATTCACAGGTGCAATCATGGCTCATTGCAGCCTTGAACTCCTGGGCTCAAGCAATCCTCTCGCTGAAGCCTCCCAGGTAGCAGGTGCACACCACATGTCTGCTTTCCAAGGAGGTTTAGGTCGACCCTCACAACAAGCCTGTGAAGCAGGGATTGTTATTCTCACTTTTCTGGTAGCACACCAAGGTGCAAGGATTCCCTGTGGATAGGTGGTTAGTATGGTAGAATGGGGTGAGGTTTGAACCCAGTCCTGACAATCATCAGAGCTACACAAGGCTGCCAAGAAGTAGAAAAAGACAGTGGCATTTTGGGTCCCCATTATCAATTCGAAAGATGTACAGTCTTAAGCTTGGAAGTCGGTCGTCTGGTTCAACCCTGCCTTTTGCAGAAGCAGGAACTGGAGCCCTAAAAAAATAAAGCAACTTGCCTGCAATTAAATAGGGTGAGAGGGGGCAGATGAAGCGTAGGCATGTGGGGCTGGATCTGGCTGCACGCTGACACATAGAAAGCCTGAAATATAAGTGAGAAAGGAAAATTCCAAGAAAGAAAAGGCAGAGAAGTGGCTGTTCTTACTCCCACACCTAAGGTGTGAATTCTTTTATTGAGTCATAATAATTTCCCAAGAATTCCGAGTCTTGCTACTTTAGGTTCTTGCCCAGGAATCCACCTCTTTTCCCCCAAGCCCAACAACCCTTTGAGGTGCTCATGATTGAGCGCGTGGTGGGGGGGAAGGGGCTGCATGGGGGCGGGGATCCTATGGCTTCACATCATCCACTGTCACCTCTGGTCCCCAAGTCTCTGGATCCTTTGGTCTCACCTCTAGACAACCGTATCTTTCAAACCTTCTTCCCTGGCAACTCCTCTCTGTCCCGACAAAATCTCTCCCAAGACATTGTCCTTGTAGTTAGATTCACACAGAGCTTTTGCTTTCATAAGGTGCATACATGCCCAACTTCTCACTTGTGTGTGACAGCACCCCGGTGAGGTGGACAGGGAAGGGATGGCTCTCTCCATTTTGTAGGAAAGGGGAGGCTGCCCTCTTGATTCTTCAGTGTCATCAGGAATATTTACGAGTCCCAGCCTCACACTGGCCCAGCAGGGCTTCTTTGGCACAGGCTCTAGTTTTTTCTCTTGTTCCTTGGGTTTCCTAGAATCCCAAAGGACTCTCTGTGGCAGCCACATTACGAATAGGCTGATGATGCATGTGTGATGGTGCAGCGGCAGTCGCCAGCTCTGTGTTGCTGGGTGGCGTCCCTCCGGGCTCCGTGGCTGATCTCCCACTCTATCGTGGGCCCCTCCTGTCCCGTGCTTGCCATCCTTCCTGCTTATCATTCATTATCTATCTTCCTGCTTACCATTCATTATCGTAAATCTAACCAGATTTCACGGGGATACACATCTCCAACCCTCCATTTTGCCCAAACGGATCTATCTTGGTTTATTTTCTCTTGCCTAAATATTAGGCATGCCTAATGGGTTTCAAAAATTAATATAATTCATTTTCCATCTTGTCAGTGCAAAACAAAGGTGTTCTCAAGGCATGGCACTGAAGACCAGAATCCTTCCTCCTCTTCTACTTCTGTTTCTTGAATCAGCAACAAGTAAACAACAGTTCTGTAAACATGTGTGGGTCTGTGTCCATGTGTGCGTGGATCCACTGTTTTCTTCCATTCTTAACTGGTTTGGGACACGATAGCTACCAGTGGCCTTCTTGTCGTGTTCAAAACGGAGATTCCCGTAACATCTGGACTTTCATCAGGGCCCGTTTCAGCTGCTCATAGGTTACGAACATCACCACATTCCAGGATCCCAAACGCAAAAAGGAGGGTGTAAATCTGATGAGAAAAACAACCAACACATCAGGTGGAGTGCTAGGAGACCACAACAGATGCGTGTGCTCTCGCGGGACACAGCGGTAGTGCCAAACGATCTAGACTTCTGTTCATCACAAGTATTTTCTGAAATCCTTTCAGTCTCTCTCTGTCTCGCTCTTTTTTTTTTTTTTTTCTTTTTTTTCTGCTAAGGGGATTTAGGCAGAAGTCGGAGTAAGGGAAAAAAAAAAACCTGACGTTTTGAGACAGGTTACTGTGTTAGGCAGTGAATTCTCACAGTTCTTTTTTTTTTTTTGAGTCGGAGTGTCACTCTTGTTGCCCAGCCTGGAGTGCAATGGCACTATCTCGGCTCACCGCAACCTCCGCCTCCCAAGTTCAAGTGATTCTCCTACCTCAGCCTCCCGAGTAGCTGGGATTACAGGCATGCACCACTACGCCCGGCCAATTTTTGTATTTTTAGTAGAGACAGAGTTTCTCCATGTTGGTCAGGCTAGTCTCGAACTCCTGATCTCAGGTGATCCACCTGACTCAGCCTCCCAAAGTGCTGGGATTACAGGCATGAGCCACTGCACCGGGCCCCTCACAGTTCTATAAGGCAGCCATGTTTTCACAAACCGAGGCCCAGGGAGGTTAAGAGCTCAACCAAAGACCCGTGGCTAGTAAGTGTCAGAGGTGTGGTTCTGACTCCACCCTGCTGCTGGGTGTTTCTGGGTTCAGTTACACCCCGGGGGGCCAGCCCTAACGTGGCCGCCTGCCAGGACATGGAGAAGCTTGGGCTTTGCAGGGTGAAGACATGTGGCACCAGATTTAGCTTATCTCCAGAGAGCCTGGCTGTGCTGTGATGGCACTGCAGGGGCAGTGTCCCCACCTCAGCTGTGGCTCACCAACTCAGGGAGAAGCCCATGAGCTGGCCCCTGCCCCTCTCTCAGCCTGTCCCTCCACTAACCACCTCCTGGGCCCCTTTGCTCCCGCCAGACTCAGCTAGTCACATTCCCTGACGATGCCAGGCCCTGTTCCCTCCATGCCTTTGCTCCTCTTGCTCCCTCTGCCTGGACTGTCCCCTCCTCTCCTCCTTTGCTGGCTGGTTGCTCCTTGCTCTGGAGGACTCAGTTCGGGCACCGTAACCTCATGCCATGGGTTTTCTTGACCCTCATGGGATCTATAGCACTGTGACAACAAATGTAAACTCTGGAGTCAGACCTGGGTTCAAATCCAAGCTTTCCCAGTTTCCAGCTTTACAATCTGGACACATCACTTAATTTTTCTAAGCCTCAGTTTCCTCATCTGTAAAATGAGGAAAATAATAGTATCTGCCTTATAGAGTTAGTCGTGCAGATTAGGTGAGTTAATGTTGGACAGCACTCAGCACAGGGCCCAGCATCAGTAAATGCTCAGTAAATATCACCAACGTATCTGCTGCTCTTTGAGGCGAGCATAATCCAGGGCCTGGCACCTACAGGATGCTCCAGAAATGTTGGACAAGTGAAAGCAGTAACTGAGACAAGTGGCTACAGCTGAAGACTGTAATGATAGAGGCACTTTTTGGAAGAACAGTCTGTCAATTGCAATATAGTTTTGTTATGTCATTCCCAGGCTTGAGAACCTATAGTAGCTCTTGTTCACTTGTTGAGTCCATGATAACACCAGGCACCAGAAAACTCTCTGTTGAAGGCATCAGCAGTGGGAGGTGAAAGGGCCAAGCTAACAGCTTACCAGTAGGATAAACAATATTGTTGGGTGTGGTGTCTGACGGTCTGGGTTTGAGCCATGGCTCCACCATTTTAACTTGTGGTCTTGGATAAGTTACTTAACTTTTCTGACACTCAGTCTTTTCCTTAGTTAATGTGGACAATACTACCCAGTTCAAGGGGCTGTTGGGATAATGTGTGTAAAGTGCTCAGCACGAGGCCTAATATAGAGTGACTTAGCTGTCGTGATCATCGTCACCAACTGCATTATCAAGTGCTCACTCTGTGCGAGGGACTGTGGGAGATACAAGACGTCTGAGCCACTTTGGCTTTCGGGAACTTGCCCTTTGCAAGAGGAATAACTTAAGCTTACCAATACTGTAATACAAGGCAGGAGGTGATAAATACCATAAAAATGGTATCAAATGGCATTGCAGAAGTTCCCAGGGAGGAGGGAAAATTTACACCTGAGAGTGTTAGGGAGGAGGTGGCATTTGAACTGGTCTTGAAGGAGGCTAAAATTGACAGCCTGTAGATGATGAGGCATTCCATGCAGAGGGAGCAGTAAGTGCAAGAAAATGTGGAGTATGTGGAGACAGTGAGGAAAGCACCGGCTGTGGTCAGCGTGGTGCTCAATGGCCATGGCAGGAGGTCCGGGAGGTCTCAGGATTGCTAACTTCCTTTGGAGAGAGGCAGTACTGTTACCTGTTCCTAGAATGCTTCCTCAGTCAGGCTTCCCTAACTCTCCCCATCAGGTATGGTTCACTTTTTTTCTTTTACTTGCATGGTTTTTTAAACTTCTCCTTTGTGGCATTTACATCTGTACTCTTCACCGCTACATCCCAGGTTGACCCATGGTAGCCACATTAGAAAAGAAAGAAGCCCCCATTCTCTGGGAGGGAGCACTGGAGGCAGGAGGAGGCTCACCCCTTGTAGAAGGCTGTGGGGCCCTCCTGGGCCACCATCTTTATCATACAGTCGAGGGGGCTGAGGTACTGGCCTGGAGGTGAGTTCATATACCGGGTCTTCACCACATCCACCGGGGAGGCCACCACTGTGGCACAGAAGCCGGCTCCAAAGGCAGAGGCTAAGTGGCAGGGGAAGTTGTCTGCATAGGAAGGATGAGCAAATATCAAGGAGTGCGTTTGTGTTCTATCCATATGTATGCACTGTTTGTCCCCACCTCAACCATGAACTCCCTGAGCATAATTTCCGTATCTGACAGTATTTTCTGTATCTCTCACAGTGCCGTGGGCTAAGCTCTTGGTAAGTACTGGCAAACTAGGCCTGGGCTGACCCAGAGGTGGGAGGTCATGCAGGCTGTTTGAGGAAACTGAAGTCAGAGAAGGTGAGAGATCCTTGTTTAAAGCTACATAGTGAGATGTGGTGCTGGGACTGGAACCCAAGTCTCCAGCCTCCCAGCCTAGGGTTCTTTCCTGCTTGTCACCACAATGTACCAGGCACTCTTTACTAGGCACTGCTTCTCTCTCTGCTCCTTCTAAAACCCAGTTGCCTCTGGGTTCCCTCCCTGCTGGGGGAGGGCTGCCTGCCTGGAGCCCAGGGCCTCACCAGTGAGCAGGTGATAGTCCAGCAGCTTCTCCTTGAGGATGTCGTAGGTCACCACCTCAGCACAGTTGACAATGGCATTCCTCATGATGTTGGGCAAAGTTCCTGTTAGGAAGGCAGTGGGGACGGATGAATGGGAAATGGGAGACATGGATGCCCTGGCTGCAAGGTCACAGGCCCCAGTTTTGGGGCTATCAGGCCCCATTCCAATGGTCGCAGCCAGAGGATCCCACCCCAGCTGCGCAGATTCCACATTTTCCTCTCTAGAGTTAACAACTCTCAGATTATCCATATCTTCCTCAGAAACAGAGAACAGAGAGGCCCACTGGTGTTCACTTGGCCTCATTTTGGAGGGTAATCTGCAACAGCTGTCAAAATTAACACATGCCTCCCCGAGACCCAGCTGCAGCCAGAAAAGCAAGTCATTCAGCGAGAGGCTGAGCTCTTGGAACAGTGACAGAATGTGGTGCCAGCAGGGCCCACCCCTGGTTTCACAGGTAAGGGGACAAGCTCTGAAGGATGCCCAACAAGTGACTGAAGAGCCCCCACTTAAGAGGTGTCCTGCCCTTAAACTTCACCGGGTCAGTTTCTTCTGCAAACATTTCTGCAACCTCTGGTTCACACGCGGAGAGAGTCCTGCATTCATCACAGTGGCCGCCATGTGGACACATAGGGAACCCTCCAGCTTTGCTCCCAAGGGAGCGCTTCCTCATTGCATCTCCCTGCGCCCACTCTTCACAGCTGTGCGTTTCTGATGCTCCTCTTCTTCCTCCGGGCCCTGCTTGAGGGCCCCTCCCCTTCCATCTCCACACACCTAGAGCCTGTTCAGTCTTCCAGGCCCAGCTTAGGTGTCACCTTCTCTGCAGAGCCCGCCTCTGGAGCTCCACCTCTGGGGCAACCCCTACCACATCCTGCCCGTGGTGTAGCTGCATCTTGACTTATCTCCTCCGCTGTCCTCACGCCCTGGGTGTGTGAAGGTGTCTTAAATTCATTTGTCTCCCTCACAGCAGCCTGCACATGGCAAAGGGCTGGTAAAATGAACAGAGTTTGAGGGGCTGTGGCAGGCCAGCGAAGTATCTTTGATTGTGATGTTCTTTCAGAATCACTGGAACATGCCATGCTGGGAGCCCCTCCTTGCTGGGGTCCCTGCCCCAGCCTGAGGGGAGGGAAAGCTCTGCCTAAGGCCACTTGTGCCCGGAGTCCAGACCTACCTTTCCACAGGCCCCTGACTCCTTCCTCCCTGGCGATGGTTCTGTAGGCATCCATAGTCCCGCTGTATTTTCTGTCGCTCCCAGACGACCCGAGGTGTATGCTGGCCTGAAATCGGACCTTCACCACATCTGTGGGCTGGGCACAGGTCACTGCCATGGCTCCCGTGGTGCAGCCAGCCAAAATCCGGGTAGTGAGGCTGGAGCCTGGAAGGGGCAGAGAGAGTGGGTCAGTACCCCCTACTAAGCAGCTCTCTGGGACATGCTGTTCTCTGCGGGACTGCCCCTGCAGCCTCCTTGATGTCCACTCAGAGCCTCCTCATGAGCATTCGGTACCATCTTCCCCCCAACCCCTGGCTCTGCCTCTGAGTCTAGACTTCCCTGGTCTCTTGACCCACAGACGTTCGGCCACCCCTTTGGTGTTCAGGGACCTGGTCACTCACTGTCTGCGCCTTGAGGGGTGTAGACCTGCTTGACAGAGTCGTAGAGGCCGATGCGGATGGAGGCGAAGCTCATCTGGCGCTGCAGGCCGGCCACCAGCCCATTGTAGGGGCTGCAGAGACCCTCGGTCCGCACCATGGTCAGGATGGTGCCCAGCACGCCGCGGTACTGCACAAGCCGGGCCGTCTGGGCCACCGGGTTCTCCCCCTGGATCTGAGGGACAATAGCGGGGGGCGAGGACTCAGATGGGAGGGCAAGAAGGGGCTGTGTGCACAGGAACCCTGCTGGGGCTGGGCCTGCCTGGGCTGGGCCTGAGAACAACCGTGCTGGTCACAGCCTTCACATCACAGTAGAAATCACTGGTGTCTGGGCAGGATTTTACCGTTCACAAAGCAGTGTTATACACACGGCTTGATGTTTGATACTCAGAGTAAATCAGAGGGACAGATTGTCTTTCCATTTTATAAGTGCTTTGTGGCTTGCCCAAGATCACACAGTTAATTCCTTACTTTTACCGCACACTGTGCGCTTTACGAAGTAGGGCCTAGCCCATAAAGGGCCCTGTCGCGTTATGCAAAGAATTTAGATTTTTTTGTCTTGGTGGATGGTGATGAGAGGAGGCAAGGAAGGGTCCTAAGCAGTGGAGTGAGAGTCTTCGTCAGGGTTCTGAGTGAGGAAGGGCATGTGGGCACACGTCATGGGGGCTATGGGGGAGAACTAGCCTCTCCTTCCATGTGATCAATGACCCTTGGCCAAAGGGCACCTACCTGCAGGCGGACCTTGGCTGTGTCCAGTGGAAAGGTAAGGAGGTCAGCAAAACAGGCTGCTGTGCCTGCCCCCAGGAACTTCACAGCCATGGTGGGAGGCACGTCTGAAGGCTTCAGTCCAACCATGGTCCTGGAAGGCTCTGCCCAGTCTCTTTAGGGCCGAGAGGTCCAAGGGAAGAGGCTGCTCCACAGCCCTGGGCTTCAGTGCAGCAGTGAGGCTGCAGGAGACAGGCCAGAGGAGGCTGATGGAGTGATGTCTGGCCTGGCCCCCAGGTGCTCCTCAGCATCCAGGAGGGGCTTTAGAAAGGGAGAAGCCTGGGTGGTGCCATACTCAAGCTGCGTGAATTTGGCCTATAAAAACAGGTCACGTTCCCATCCCTCGGATTTTGCAATCCTCCTCTTGACCCTCTCCCTCCCCTCCTTACCATGGGTAGGCAGAGCTGACAGTGGTATCTGCACTGTATACACGAGGAAACCGAGGCTCAGGCACCTGTTCTCCCCGGTATCAAACTGCTTCCTTTTTTTTTTTTTTTTGAGACAGGTTCTCGCTTTGTTACCTGGGCTGGAGTGCAGTGGTACAATCCAGGCTCACTGCAGCTTTGACCTCTTGCACTCAAGTGACCCTCCCACCTTCAGCCTCCTGAGTAGCTGGGACTATAGGCGTGCATCACCATACTCAGCTAATTTTTTATTTTTTGTAGAGATGGGGGTCTCTCTATGTTGCCTATTCTGGTCTCGAACTCCTGGCCTCAGCCTGATCACTTGACAAGAGGGGCAGTTCTTAGCCACTCATGGAAAGTGGAATGGATGGGCGTAGACTCAGGTCAAAAGCCCATCTTGGGGTCAGGGCTCCAGAACTCTCAGTAGTCAAGCTCAGGGAGGAGGGGAAGCCACAGTGGTGGGCACATATAGGAGCTGCCCTGAGGCCAGCACTCCCCAATCTTCTTCCCAATTCACTCCAGCCTCCCCTACACCCCTAGCAGCCGGCAGCCTTTTGCCACTGGCCAGTGGAGGAAGAAGTCAGAGGTGGAATCCTCATTTCTGTAGCTCTGCTGGGGCTCCTGAGGGATGGGATGTTCTAGTCTGCATGGTCCGTTAATGTTTGCTGGTTGCTTCTTGCACTGGATACCGTGCTGAGGGCTTTACAGACACTGACTGAGTCGATCCTTTATAAGGCTACAAGTAGTTGCTATTATTATTCCCATTTCATAAACCAGGGACCTGAGGCTTCCAGGGCTTTAGCTAGTCATACAGCTGAAGTGCTGGCGCTAAGATTGGTGTCCATACTTGTCTGACATCTGAAGCTGTGCCTGTTTCACTGCCCAGAGAGTCTCAGACTTCAGGGAGAGCCGAAGATCCCTTGAGCTGCTTGTTTACAGAGTAGATTCTCAGCCCTCAGCCCCAGAGATCCTGATTTAGGTCTGGGGTGGGGCCTAGGAATCTGCATTAGGAAAACTCCCATGGTAGCTCTGAAGTGGGGGAAGAGGACCCCATTTTGAGACATCCTACCCAATACCAGTTGCCTCCCCAACTCCAACCCACCCTCCCGGCAAAGCCTTCACAGCAGCCCACTGAAGAAGCCATCTAGGCGGAGAGACCATGGGCTCTGGAAAGCTCCCAGTAAATGACCTGGACCAGCCTCAGGTCAGAAGTGCCCCTGTCATCCCTACTCAGGAAGAGGCCCCAGGGTCTTCATGGAAAGAAAAGGACTTATGCTCTGGAGGAATCGCAGAGATTCTGGGGCAGGCAAAGAAGAAAGCCACTTCCTGTCTATGGGGATTGGCAAAATCCCACCACAGGCAGCCAGCAAGGCAAACGGGGTATGAGTCTTGAGTGAGTGACACGGGTGTTGGGTTCAAGTCCCAGCCCTGCCACAGTACCCTCCTCAGGGCTGCAGCTTCCTTTTTATAAGGTGGGGGCTGGACTGAATATCAGGTCTGACATGCTACAGCTAGCGAGCCCTGACTGCTCGGGGCTGCTCGCTGAAAGCCTCCAATGAAAGGGAGAACAGGAGAAGGGAGAGGGACAGGGGAAGGGATGAGGGAGGAGAAAGGGGTCTTACCTGTGAGTCCTGCCAGGGCAGGGGCAGCACAGGGGCTCCCTATGGCTCCATCCCAGGGGGTGGCAGCAGGGATCGGATGGCCCCTCCTTGTCATTCACTGTTGTCTCTGCTGCTTCTGGCTTGGCACTGGTCTTATACACACGGGCTGACCTGAAACCTTATCCTAGAGAAGCTGGTTGAGTGCCTGATCACTTGACAAGCGGCTGGCTGGTGAGGGCAGTGAGGTGAGAGGGGAGGTGAGTGAGTTCCACATCTGGTTCAGTCCTCTTACTTGGGGTGCTTTAATATAGCTCCTTTAAACTGTGGACGCTTTCTTGGTGACAGGGTGTATGAGGGGGTGGACCTGCTGCCACTTTTGAGTCCAAAGGTCAAGGCCTCCCACGATAGGCTGGGCACAGCTCTCCCAGGCCTCATAATAATAATGATAACTGTCATTTCTTCGTGCCCACTATGTGCTAAATATTTTACATACATTACTACTATTTTTCACAATCCTATGAGATAGGTACTATTAGAATTCTAATTTTTTTTACTTTTTTTTTTTTTGGTAATTTAAAAATTTTTAGTAGAGACGAGGTCTCACTGTATTCCCGAGGCTGGTCTTGAACTCCTGAGCTCAAGTCATCCTCCTGCCTCAGCCTGGCAAAGTGTTGGGATTACAGGTGTGAGCCACTGCACCTGGCCTAATTTTGTTTTTTAATTACAGATTTATCAATATAGAATTCACATACTCTACAATTCATCTGTTTCAAGTGCACAATTCAAATGGTTTTTAGTATATTCTGAGTTGTGCAACCATCAACACAATCTATTTTAGAACATTTTCATCACCCTCCTGCCCTGGAAAAACTCCATACACATTAGTAGTCACTCCCCTTCCCCCACTCCCCAGCCTCAGGCAACCACGAATCAATCTACTTTCTGTCTCTATAAATTTGCCTGTTCTGAACACTTCCTAGAAATGGAATCATCCACTATGTGCTTGTTTGTGACTGGCTTCTTTTACTTAGTATAGTAATGCTTTCAAAGTTCATCCGTGTTGGAGCCTGCTTCAGTATTTCATTTCTTTTTAATGCTGGGGATCCTAAAATCTTACCACTTATTTTACTGCGGAGGAAATGGAATCTCAGGGAGGTCATGTAGCCAGCACGTGGCAGGGCCTGACTCCGGCCTGTAAACTCTAAGGCATTTTGGGCTTATCTACTGTGACCACCATTTTCTCTGACATGACACTTGGAAGCTTTAGCATGGACACTGCTGGAGCCAAGGGAGCTGGGGCGGGGTGGAAGGGTGCCCCACAGAAGCTACTGGAGGCTCCATCTTTGGGCACTTAGAGTAAGGGCTGGGCATAGCTGAATCGGGCCCCAGGTGATGGGGGAAGGGGAGAAGAGGAAGAGAAGGGAGGGGAGGAGTGAGAAGCAGAAGGGAGGGAAGGAGAGTGAGTTGATTGGGTAGGGCAGAGGAGGAGTAGGCGGAAGTCTTTTCTGGACTTGGGCACACAGCCAGGGTCACAGGGCAGGTGGTCAGAGGTACGGACGCTCAAGTGCAAAGCTTGGGCTGTACCTGTCCTCTTCCTTGGACCAGGCTCTGACCTTAATGTCAGCAGAATAAGCAGCTGCATTAGTGTTAAGAGGGAAGTGGCTGTCAGGGCTGCTGAGATTAGGAAGGCTTAGGAAGTAGGTTCTGAGCTCCATCTGTAATTGCTAGCCTGGAGGTGGTGGGGTAAATTGCACGGAGTCTGTGGGGGAAGAATAGAGTAGAAGCCCAAACCAGGAGGCAGCAGGCTCTGGAGGAACCCAGGGGGAGGGAGGGTCAAGCTCTCTTTGGCTTGGGAGCTTGAGAGCAGGACCAGGTCTGCCTGCTTTGGCTCCATGTCCAGAGGCCAGCCCATGCTAGAAGTCCCAAGGCTGCCTGCTATGGGTTGGGAAGAGAGGCGCCACTGGCTCGTTCTGGTGGTGGGAACACCTATCTCATGCCTTAATCCATGCCACATGCCTGGTCAAGTCATTTACCTCAGAGTTGGCACTGGGAAGATTCAGCTTCCAGGGCTAAGATATTGATAAATAACACACTGTTTTGAAGTGGAGATGGGAGGTCTCGACCCTCAGGGTCCCTTTGTGTCATCAGAGGCTGCTCTCAACCTGGAGTGGGAGCATGTCCTCCTGACCCCGATCAGGTTGTCTGTGGGAACTAGAGTGGGATTTGGAGGAATATTCTTTACCTGGGGCTTTCCCCCTGAGGCCTGGTCTCTGACTGCTCCTCTTCAGGTTCCCTGAGCCCCAAGGGAAGTGGGGTCCTGGGCCTTGAATGCTCTGTGCTGGTGACTTGAGAGGGAGGCTGGCCTCCGTGGTGCTGGGGAGGGGTGGGCTGGCAGGCTGGAACTTAGGAGCAGAGACAAATAGAAGGGGGAGGCCTTGTCACCACGAAGGCGGCACCCACTCCTTCCTTGAGGTTCCCGCATCACTATGCACCCGCTGATGCCCGGGAGTGCTCCGCCTGCCCCAGTGGCTGTGTGCTTGCCTCGCTACGGGTTTGCTCCGGAGCATCAGAGAGTGGGTGGGGCTGACATTTCCTAAGCTTCCACTGTGTGCCAAATGTAGGCGAAGCACTTTAAAAAATGTCATCTCACTTGATCTTCCTCACAACCCCATGAAGCTGGAGTGATTATCTCTGTTTTACACATGAGGCCACAGAGGCTCAGACACAGCGAGACTGGTCTCTCTCTCCAGCTGCACGCCGCTCACAGGCTTTTCTGGCTCGCTCTCTATAGCTGTCCATAGTCTGGCCAATTCTCTGGGCTCACCCCAAGACCTGTCTCTTCTAGGAAGCCTTCCCTGACTGCTTCAGCCCACATGGTCTTTCTCCATGAAGTCCCTAAATTAAGAGCACTTATTGGCTATACCTTGTTTTGATCACTGAAAGCAGTGCCTTGCAATACCTCTGGGGATTTCTTGTGTGGTGAATCACTTCCTAACTACACAAACAGAGGCAAAACACTGAACTTACAGAAACTCTAGATATCATACTATCTAGAGTTAGCAAGTTGTTTTGAGGACTGAGTGAAGTGACATGTACCTGGGGGTGAAAGCCTATTGCCCAGCCACGTCTTTTTTTTTTTTGATACAGAGTCTTGAGTTTTGCTCTGTTGTCCAGGCTGGAGTGCAGTGGTGTGATCTCGGCTCACTGCAACCTCCACCTCCTGGGTTAAAGTGATTCTCCTGCCTCAGTCTCCTGAGTAGCTGGGACTACAAGCATGCACCATGCCCAGCTGATTTTTGTATTTTTTTTTTTTTTAGTAGAGACAGGGTTTTGCCAGGTTGGCCGGGCTGGTCTCAAACTCCTGACCTCGGGTGATCTGCCTGTTTCACCCTCCCAAAGTGTTTGGATTACAGGTGTGAGCCACTGCGCCCGTCCATGGCCCTTTTCTTGTCCTCCCCACAGGGCTTTGTCTGTGGCAGCTGCTCAAGAGTTTGTGGTCTGACAGCCTCAGCCAGAGTTACCCATCTCAGAGATAAGAGGGATTCTGAGGGTTCCATTTTACTAATGGATTTCAAGCATCAGCAAAGGAAATACTGGGTGTCACTGTCATCTGGACCAACCCGATTCTGGGGGAGCCAGAGTCTCATGGTGATTGATCCTCGTCTGTGGGGGGTATGGTTGTTAATCTTCCTCTCTGGCAGTTAGGGCACACACGAATTCCTAGCATCCCCACTCCAGTGAAACACTTGTGCACAGATTACAAACACCAATATGATTTTATTCAAACACAGGCAAGAACAATGACCTTCAGAGCTGGGTAAAAACAGTAAGTTAAAAGCATGGTTAGAATTTTAGACAATCGGATAAAAAGTTTGAAGGAGGTGATTTCCCCTTCCTGTCCTAATTAATTCAACATGGCATAAAAATAATTTGTATCTATAAAATATCCTTGTTCCCACACAAATGAACTGGAGGTGGCCCTAGGATTTCCTTGACTATGCACAATGCACACAATGTACATGTCCCTCCTCCCCAGCTTTTAAGGCAAAAATGGTCCCACATCTTCAGGCAGAGGGTGGGCTC